TGTTGTGTGGCGGATGTTGAAGGAAGTGTAATTTGGAAGTTATAGTTATTAGTCATAGTATCGTTGTTATTAGTAGGACATTTACGTGTTGTTTTAAGTTGTAAGTAAATAGTGGGAATTTCAACGTGTCGGTTAATTGTATGACCTTCTATAATGTACCATGCCTCTTTAAATTCACGGGCGTGTTTTGTTTGTGCTCGTCCTAATAGTTCGGTTTATGTCCTGTTGAAGGTATGGCAGTTGTCGTATGTGTGTGCTGCAAGTAGTGATTTATAATCGTATCGTTTTATGGCGTTTTTGTGTTCAGTTATTCGTGTTTCAACTTTTTTCGAGGTTTGACCTATGTATCGTTGTGGATAGTCTCTGCAAGGTATCATGTATATAGCATTTTTTGTTTGTTTTGATGCTATTTTGTCTTTGTGTTTTGTGGGAAATGACCTAAGTTTATGTGCCGGTTTGTGTGCTACGTCAATGTTGAAAGGTCGCAATAATCTGGCGGTCATTTCAGATGTACTGTTTATGTAAGGTAGAGTTATTCTTGTCCTTGATTGTTCAGGTTGTTCGTCAGGTATGTTACTCTGTTGTTTGTTACGTATTTTTGTTATATTTTGTTAATGAAGTTCCTAGGGTAGTTGTTTTTCATGAAAGTCGAGTATAGATATTTGCGTTCTGTTTGTTTAGCTTGTTCTGTCCTACAGTGCGTATCTATTCGGTTGAATAAGCTTCTTATACAGCTTATTTTGTGTTGAGTAGGGTGGTTGCTGTTAAAATTCAGTATTTGGTCAGTGTGCGTTTTCTTACGGTAGACCTGTGTGTTAATCGTGCCGTCATCAGTTCTTGTCAACAAAATGTCAAGGAAAGCAAGTTGGTTGTTATCTTCTTCTTTCGTGAATTTTATATTTTCTGTAGTATTGTTTATAGTATGTAAAATGTCGACGTCGTCAGTCTTGTCTTTCTTAACTGTAGCAAGGACGTCGTCTACGTATCTGTTCCATGTTTTAATATCGTTATTGTTAGTAACAGATCTCTTTTCTAGATCCTGCATGACTGCTTCAGAACTGCTAACTTACGACGAATCGTGACTGAATCGCTACTGCATGAATAATAATAATAATAATAATAATAATAATAATAATACAACTTTATTCATCATTTCATTATATACAATAATGCTTTTGTTATCAATGACTATATTAAATAACCTGTTCTTTGGGTATAATTAAAAAAGTGTCTAAATGTTTGTTGATATGTACAGTTAAATTTTAAAAACAAACTCTGGAACATATACCGCTACATAATTAAAATATTTACCGCTAAGTAGCTAAATAACTAAACTAACATATTCCGCTAAATAACTAAACAACTACTAAACTTTGTATATGTACAATCTAAAATGTTTGAGAGATAGCACTCTCGGCGTTCTCAATGTTGAAATCAATGTTCTTAATATCGTACATGAAGTGCTGTGAGCCACACAGATAATCCTTTTTCCGAAGCCACATCTAATATACGCTGAATTCTTGGCGGTGCACTCTCTCTAATACGTTCTGCCCTCTCCTCCCACTCTTGCACTCTTTCTTTTCTAACGGCTTGTTGCGCTGATTTTATATGCGACTCGTCGGGTAGCTGATGTAACTGCGCTACAATCTGATCAACAAGGGGTGCTGTCACTCTTTTTGACGACACATACTGACGTTCTGCCTCATGACTTGGATTTTCCAAGCCTAGGCCACCCAGACGTGCTGGAAGTGCTAGAAAGTCCCGATCGAGTGGATTGCACTGGTGATCTGTGATAGCGGGGATGAGAATCTGCGATATTGCCTTTTCGAGTGGCTCTAGTAGGTCCTGGATGTCTGGCAGGGTTCTTAGGAAGTAGGTGCAACGATGTTTCAAGCCAAATGTGTATGCGGCATAGGACGCTTGTGGTTGGGACAGTGCAAATTCGGCTAATTCTGTCACTTCGTTGACCCAATTAGAGACCTTCTCATTAACATATTCCTCCAGATACTCTCGTGACCCTAGCGCTGCTCCCAGATGTTTCTGCCCATGCACTGTTACATTGATATCCGTTCCATGGAAGACTTCTCTCACACTTTCTTCCTTTTCGGGCTTAACAATAATCCAGCATTTCTCGTCTTTCGGAAACAGATTCGGGTATCTCGTCTTTGAGCGGGCCAAATAATACCGATCCGAGTTTTGCTGGTTGTGGCTCAGGAAGCTTCTGTTTTAATTGCGTCATTACATCGTCAGTTAACGTTAACACGCCGCGGCCATTTGAGGTTTCACTCAGGAAGCGAAGGGCTGAGTTGATTTGACCTTCTAGCACAAGCTTAGCAAAGACTTTAGCTTTATCGGGGTGGTTTGATCCTTTAAATTTTCCAATACGACTTTGTATGATTCGTCCCTCACGTATTAGCTTACTGATATCACCGTCCTTCCAAAGTGCAAGTCGCTTTGACAAGGCATCTTGATGGTCCTTTGCCTTGGACTTCGGGTTTGGCTTTTGAAGCAACGGCGAGATGTAGAAAAACAGCTTTTAGGGAAACATGTTGATTTTCCGAAACGTTATTCCAGTCGTTTATATGCATCGTTATTTGATCGATAAAATCCCTTCCTATTTTCCCGTATGGCACTAGAAAAACATTCTTTTTCCAAGTTGTAATTTCATCATACGCATCTGTAATGTCTGAAGTCGACATGACTATTGTTCGTCCATCGCCTCGCTTTCCCCAATCAATCATAGGTGGTTTATTATTTACATTATATCACACTTGCGTCGGTTTTCTTTGTTCGTCCGAGGTTTATAACTAGCTTATAGACCTTGAATAAATGATTGGATTAAACTTGTAGACAAAACGCGAGAATTTTTCATTAAAAATTTTTGAAAATGACAAAATATGTTGGAAAACCTCCGCAAGTGTGATATAAGTATAGGTTATTTTGAGGCAACGAGGGGATATGTGATTTATTCACCGAGGCGCGCAGCGCCGAGGTGAATAAACACATATCCCCGAGGTGCCTCAAAATAACGTACTTATTTTTCACATTGCGAGGTTGCGTTCATGAGACAGAATAGAAATAATTCTTAATGCCATATTGCCTTCGTTATGTTGTTTTTTTTCTCTTTTTTGTGCTGCAAAGACATTGCAGGTGAATATTAGAGGGGATTATTAATTGCAGGTGAATATTAGAGGGGATTATTAAACGGAAATTGATTAGAGTGGAATATTGAATATATTCCCCGATAAGAACAAAGGAAACCGAGCAGGGTGAAAAATAAGTTAGTTATAAACCTCGAAAGTCGGTTTATAACTGATATATTGCCCCTCGGACGCTACGCGTCCTCGGGGTCAATATATCAGTTATAAACCTCCTACTCGGTTTATAACTCTAACTTATTATACTCCGGAAGACAGCCCGAGATAATTGCATTATCTTCTTTCTGGTTGAGTGCTCCCGGAATTTCATGTTGACTATTATGAAATCGTGGCGGGTTGTTGTTTGCAATTCATTCGTTTGATTTGTATACTGCGATTCATTAATCAAAGCGGTATCTTTCGGCAACAGCCTCGCGTTTGCAACTCAAAAGATCCTCGTTCATTTGATCTGTCCATTTACGCCTGTGTTCAACCTCGTTCCCAGGGCTTTTCCCTTTTTGTCATTGGGAAGGCGGGAAAAGGCCCTGGCACCGGCCGGTCACATGACTTTCAACACCCAGATATAGTGGGTGTAATAAATTATAATAATAATGAATTAGAAAATCCAAGATGGCCGCCAACCTAAGAGTGCCCACAAAATTTAAGTGCTTAGAGCGGCTTAAAAATGCGTTTAGTCTTTGAAATTTTTCCTTCTTTTTGCTACCGACGTACTCGAAATCAGATTCTTCAGCTTTTATTACATGGGAACTATGTAGTTGCTGTTTTTCCAACTGGGTTTGGTAAATATTGTTCGGCGTTCGCTAAACAAAATTAACAGATGTTCTCCAGCTGGGCAGGCTTGCATGCCTATAAAGAGGACACGGAAAGTGTTTTGAACTGGGGATGTTAAACTTGGTTTTACCCTTCCAAAGACTCTGCTGTGCGACGATTGGAGCGAGTTTATGAGGAATATTTTATACAGTGATTCAAAGAAATGTTTTTGCATATACTGTATATGTTATTGATCTATTGTTGAATGTCACTTATATTATAAAGTGCCAATGGTTGGAATATTTATTCATTGATATTTTAAACACAGATGAGTGTTATATGCTCTTTCCTTGTTTACGTTTTCCTTGCAGCCAAATGTTGAAGCTGGCAAGCTGCAAAACTGACATATGAGTGATATGACCCAAATATTGGATATGCATCTTAGTTTGCTTCCAGTAAAATGTAAACAAGACCTTAAGAATTCTATACGAGATAAGAAATATTCCGTTTAAAATCATGACTGGCAAATTAGCATGTGCGAATTGATGCTTCCTAATAATAGTATGTACTCCAGTCTCCAGTAAAGCTTGCTTCACGCATGCTTCAATTCTTGCTGTTACCATCTGCACATTATCAGGGTGGAGAGTTGATTTGAATTTTTTGTCCCAGAGGATAAAGGTAGGGAATAGATTTTCCATCACAAAAGGGGCAAGGTGCCCAACCAGTTAGAAGATGGCATGTACTTTAAGTGACCATTCATTATACCCTAGGGTGGGGTGGGAGATTCTTATGTCAAAATGTCATGGGACCCCTTTTTAATCTCTTAATTTAATAATGGAGACCCCTCCTAAATATTTAAGACTATATAACATGATGAAATTCTAATCTTCATTCATGTGAATGCCTGACTATGAAGAAAATACATTTTGCAACACAGGGATGGATCCAGCATGATCTGGTAGGGGGGGGGGGTGCTCTGCCAGCTCTGGTGCCGACTTGTGTTGGTCATATGTGCCACCTGCCCATCAACTTGCTTCACTATTGTAATTGTTGTTCACAGCTCGCTTATCATCATGTTATTACTCAAATTACTGTATCTCATTTTGCCTGTAATAATTTTTTGCTTTATCATGAAAAATATAACCCCCCTGCACCCACTCTGGCCAGGGCTAGGGGAGTGCACAGCCCCCCCCCCGCAGTAAATCCATCCCTGTTGCAACATACACTACAAGAGCTAGAATGATTGCTTCCTTTGGATGATTTGTCTTAGAATTATATTACCTACTGTATATTACAACAATTCTTCCTATTCTGAAACCAGTTGCTATTCTGTTTTTTACAACACTCACCCCCCCCCCAAAAAAAGAAAAACTCAACAAATCAAGGACCCCCTCCAAGGCAATTTTGCCAGCAAAATAGATTAAATTTGATGGTAATTGTTCTGAGAATATATTAACTCATTGAGTGGCAGCATTCTGCCTAGACTTGCCACAAGTCGACCTCAAACGAAACGCAAGCAGCGAGTGTGAGCCAACGTTTCGTTCGAGGTCGACTTGTGGCAAGTATACATTCTGCCCTTGAGTAAAATTGTCTGGCACCAGACGGAATAATATACTAAAGTAGGGACATTGCCACTATAAAGGGTTAAACAAATTTTTAAAAATTTTGCATTGCTCTATATTCAAAAAGCTCAATTTGTAAATTTTAATTGACTTTAATTAAATTAATATAACTACTTATACTTATAGCTACCTTGCCCCAGTCACTTCAAGTGAACTCTACGGGAGGAGGGGGACATTGAAAATCCCTGGGTTTACTTGGTAAAAGCAAGAATTGAACCATGCATTACATGTATATGGAGAGCAGTTTTAAATATATTTTATCATGCAAATGCCTTGATAATTGTTCTTAAACGTCTTTGGCTTAGAATGGGTACACCCTCCAAAGGTGTTTATTTACAGGGTCCAAAGGTGTAAATATACACTGTCCAAGGTGTTAATATAAACAACAAAAACAATGTATATAATTAAATTTTATTAAATAAAATGTGGAATATTTTACAAATTGCATTACCATCCCAAAGTGTACATAATTTATCAATATAATTAGGACTTAGAAGCTGTTCACATGAGTTTGACTCTGACCCAGCACCCTTGGCTTAGCTCCCCTTGCCCGATCACAAGTAGAAAACCTCCAACCCCCTCTGACAAATCAGTCCAGATCTGCCAAAGAGGCAGGATTTTCTGGAATATTATTAGCAGTGAAATTGTTGCATATTTTCAAGCATGCATTGTAACCTGATTTTAAAGCCTGTTTGAACATCAGACATTGTGGCAATGGCAAGATGGTTCAGCCACATGAATACAATCTTAAAATATCATAAAAACAATGCAATTTAAGGCCAGACAGCCCAACTCCTGCGAACAGCCCTTTATTACACATTTGAAGCATCTCTTGAGGCATCAAAGTACTGTACATGCAGGCACATGGAATTACATACGAGTATGTGACATAAGCCCACCATTGCACAACTTTGTCTGCAACAATGCAAATACAACAAATGCAAATACAATCAAGCTGGAAACGGATTTTATCAGTATTTTGATATATACATTATGGCTCATGTCTAAAGACACCTGCACTTTCATATTGAAATTGTTCTAATATCATCCAAACAAAACACATCAGAAAACTGTAACATCAGCCAAATGAGCAAATCACTTTTTTAACACAATTTATGGTAAAATGAAGCAACATGTAATAGTATCTGAAACAAAACCAAATCACATATTATTCAAAAGTTGTAAACACTGTTGCATATATGATATAACAAAATATCGTCGCATTTCCAGTGGCAACTAACTATAAATTAGGCCAATTTAAACTCGACTATGAAGAATATCAAAAACTAAAGGTCGTGTTTCAGTTTATAAACCCAGACTTTGGTTTTATAAATATAAACATTATAAACGGTATTAAACGCTATACGAAGCCAAATATGAAGGCACATTTTGCCCTAAATACTCGGTCAGAGCCTCAGAGGTGTGTTCTAGTACACAATTAATCTTCTCTCACAGTTTAAAACAAACAATAATACTAACCTTCGACAAATTGTGTATAAATCTTAACGAATTTAACCATTTTGCCACAGATTTTGCCAAAAATATTTCTTAGACGGACAAAGTATTAAATCACTCCTTGCATGAAATGTTAATTTATCCCAAAGTTTGAATAAATTAATCCAAGATTGCATTATTTGCATAATAATGTCTTGTCATTGACCAATCAGAATACATAGAAGACCGGCCGGTGCCAGGGCCTTTTCCCGCCTTCCCAATGACAAAAAGGGAAAAGCCCTGGGAACGAGGTTGGCCTGTGTTTACATTGCCTTCGATTAGCCATATTGACTTGCTATCGCTGACATAGAGTTTCACAATAATAATAATAATAATAATAATAATAATAATAATAATAATGATAATAATAATAATAATGATAATAATAATAATAATAATAATGAAAACTTTATTAATAGAACATTTATATATATATACAATTGTAAATCTCACTTCTTGAGGTAACCTACAATTGA